TCGGGTCACCCTTTCCCCTCTGCCCCCTCTGGCGTGGGTGCTGCAGGCAGGGCTCTGCCAGAGCAGGCAAGGCACAGGATTTGGGGACGGGCCCAGGACCAGGGGCTGCCAAATAACTGGCCCCCCCGGGATATTTCTGAGCCGTCACTTGGCGAGTCCTGACACAGCTGTGCTAGCCCATCCCTTGAGGCTGCTACGTGGACGCCAAGGTTTGGGGACACCCTCCTGCCGCCACGCATCGTGGGCCACCATCGAGTGTGAATGGCCAAGGCCCCCCCCAATCCAGCCTCCAACCACACCCCCCCCTTCCAAAACCGCAAAGCTTGGGGTCATCACCCGCTGCTGCAAGGCAGGCGAGACCCCCCCACCCACCTTGGACCCCTCGCCAAGGGGGGGCCGAGCTGCCAGGCTGCCCGCTGCCTGCGCTTTGCTGCCTCTCCATCACCAAACCCCCCCCCCCTCCCCGGCTCCCACTGCCGTGGGGAAGGAGCCGCAGCAGCAGACAAAGCATCTCCCAGTGCTCTCCATCCCCCCCCAAACCTCCCCCTGCTCCCCCCGCTTTGCTCCAGACAAGCCCATCCATTAACAAGGACAACTCAGCCCTTTGCAGGAGAAAGCTGGACAGGCAGAAAGTCCCAGGCAGCGCCGGGCCCTGCCTGGATTTCTGGCCGCAGCCCAGCACGGCTCTCGGCCAGCCACGTGGGAGCCGGGAAAAGAGACAAAAGCAAAAGCGGGGACCAGGGTCGGAGGAGAGTGGGAGGCTTCCTAGAAAGGGCTCCGATATCTTCCGCTGCTCCAGGGAATCCTGCATCCCCCCCACCGAGGAGCTGGTTGCCCTCCCCAGATGGATGCTCATCCTCCTGGAGCCAATGGAGCAACGCAGCTCAGCGGGGGGATGCGTGGGGCAGGGAGGGGCTTGGCTGGAGATGATGATGCTCTTGGACTGGGGGAGGGCAGGCTCGGTGCAGCCCCTCGCTGGCCCTGGGCCGTGGCCAGCCCCCCCGGTGTGCCAGCTTGCCCGGCGGAGTGGATGCCAGCCTGATTGCCTGCATCTGCACTAGCAGCTGGCCGGCAGCCGGCGAGCACCAGAGGTTAATTCCCCGACACTTTAAAACCACTTGCTGAAGCTCTGAAGCTAAGGATGCTCAGGGGGGGATGCCGCAGGGCGATGGAGGGGTCCCACCCAGGAGACCTCCCCAGGCACGGGGACGTGCAGGGTGTCAGCAGGGTGCCTGGAGCTTCCTCTCCCACCCTCTCTGCAAAGCACCTCCAAGCTCCAGGGCTGGGTGCCCACGTGGGTGGGTGATGCCCCACACACCTCGCCGCTGACGGTGCTGGCGGAAGGCAGAGGCACGAACAGCCTGAGGATTTGCAAAAGCCCAAAGAATGTCACACGCAGCCGCTTGCAGATCCTGAGGAGCCCAGCAATGTGGGACCAGGCTGCCCTCACCCCACTGAACCCCTCGGCCCTGGTAAGCGGGTGCCCGGCGAGGAGCAAAGCCGCCCCAACCGTGCTCGAGTCTGTATTTTCCACAACACTTTAAACGTGCCACCCAGGGACGAGCAATAACCACGGGGCAGAGGTTCGGGGTGGGCTCGGCAGCCTGCCCTCAGCTTTGCAGATGCTCGGAGCCCCCCAAAAAGCAGCTGAAACACTTTGCCAGGCAGCTTGTGCCCTCTGTGCCCCAGCCAGCGCTGCTCCCTGGGTACCTGCAGAGTTAATGCCAGCGGAGTGAACCACAGAATCGTGGAACAGTTTGGGTTGGAAGGGACCTTTAAAGGTCACCTAGTCCGTGTCCCCTGGGTGCCACGTCTCTGCCGCCAGCGCTGCCCTTCGGGCCGTGCTCTGGGAAAGAAGCGGGAGTAACGGCGAGGATGCGCAGGGTGGGGAGGGAGCGGGGTTTCCCTCTGATGTGTGCCCAGGCCACACAGGCAGCGGCAGGTAGGGACATCAGCAGCATCACGTATGTCACCCCGTGCCATCAGCCCCTCCAGCTGCTCCCACGGGCACCCCTGGGGCTGGGAGGAAGCGGCTCCCAGGCGGGTGGATCAGGGAGGTGAAATGGGGATGGGGCACTACACATCATCCTTGAAGGAGCCTTGATGGGGAGACACCGTCCGGGTCTTGGCAGTGTCCTGGGGACACACTGTGTCCTGGCATTGACCTGGGGACACACACTCCGTGTCCTGGCTTTGACTTGGAATAACCAGCACACGCTCATGCATCTGCAAAGATGCATAGACCCATCTTTGTCCCCTCGCAGGACACAGGGCTCTTCCCTCTGCCACTCGGGCAGCTGTGCCCCGGGCAGGATGGAGCCCCTCGTCCCAGCTGCGACCTCAGCCACGCTCCCTCTTCCACCCCGTGCCTGGCACCGACCCCGTCACCGGACCAGTGCTGAGCATGGTGACACTTGGCCAGGTCCCACGTCCCCATCTCCTCTCCTGACAGGCAGCTGCCCAAAGTGACCCAGGCAGCAGGGACCCCAAAGGATGCCCTGACCTCTCCCCAGCCCCTGCTGAGCTGGGTCCTTCCCTGCAGGGATGCTCAGAGCATCGTCTCCCCCTCAGTGTTTTCAATCTGCAGAGCTCGGCTGTTTCTCCCCCAGCCCCAGCTGCTGTCGGATGCTGTGAGAGCAGCGGCTCCGGGCACCCCAACATCCCACCCGCCGCTAACCAGGTCAGGAGCCGCCCGCCCGGGAACACACTTCGCACCAGGGGACAAAAAAGAAGGAGAAAATGGGTTAAAACGTGACCTGGATAACGCAAAATGGCACTTGACAGGCTGCCACCCGATGCTCCCCTGCAATAAATTGCAGCTCATCGGCCGCGCACGTGGGAGACCTGGCCCACGGCTGGATCCCGGCCCCACTCAGCATCCCCCCGGCGGGCAGCAGCGAGGGCGGGCAGCGGCATCACTGAGATCTGCCGGCAGCACCACCACCACCGCCGCCAAACAAGCCGGCAGGCAATGCCGCGGGGGGCTGGAGCGGAGGCAGAGAGCGGGTGGCATCACCCCACAGCGCCGGCCTCACCGGGGGCACCCGCTCCGGCCGAGCGCTGGAGGGGCTGCACGGGCAAGGGCATCGCTGAAAGCTCTTGGGAAGCTTTTCCACCTCTGTGTAAGCTGCCAGGGCATACGGGAAGAGGGACAAACATCTAGGAAGGACAGGAGGTTATATCCTGGGTAAAAGGGGGAAGCATCTTAGTTCACCTCTCCTGCCCTGGGCGCTGCCAGTCTGGCTGCGCTAAGTTTCTATAGCATCTACATTTCTTAAAAAGCCATTAACCAGCAGTTGCAAGTCAGCAGAGGCATTCCAGCCGGAGGAAACATGGGGACGGCGTGGCATTTCAAGACCTTTGTGTGTTTTTGCTGAAAGAAAAGGACACGGGCACACGTTCTGGTGGCAGCATGAAAGGATCTCTGCAGGGAACAAAGCGCTCCCAGCACCAGGGAGCGAGCCGGGAGAGCTGCGGAGGAAGGATGCTGCCCGTGGAGATTGGACCCAGCACCCACGGCAGCGTAGGGGGATCAGCAGCTCTCCGTGCGTCTGGAAGGTGGGTCTAAGCCCCACACTGCGTGTAGGCAGGGGAGATGCTGGAGGCTATTTTCTATAGGGAGAGGCAAACTTGTCACCTGAAGGTCACCTCGTGAGGGTGGGAAAAGCTGGCGATGCCGGAGGGAAGCGTGTGGGGCTGGGGCGGGAGCAGGTGGCAGCTTCCCTCGTGCCGCGGTGGTCCTGTTGTCACCTAAAGCACCCGCTCTGGGGGACCGGGGGCTGCTGCCAGGCACATCCCCGTGCGGCGAGGCAGCCCCTGGGAGCGGTGGTCCCGGCGCAGGCTACCGAGCCAGGCGGTTTGGCTAGTGCCTGAGCACGTGGAGCTGGCACCGCCAGACAAAGGAATCCAAGCCCCGAGCAGGCTTCCTCCTCCTCATCCCCTTACACCCGCGTCCCTTCCCCACCACCCCTCTGGCAATAGGGAGGGGGGGGGGGGGGCTGACCCCAGAAATTGCCAGGGATGGGGGGGGAGGGGTCGTGGGACTGAGAGCACCCAAGATTTCTCGGTACCAAGGGAGGCTGAGCACCCACGTACTGCAAACCGCCTGTGCAGAGCCTGCTGCTCCCCAGCAGCTGTGGAGCCTCGTGAGCGCTGCACACACGCGCGCCCAGCGCTGGGGGTCCCCGCCAACCCCCCAGCCGAGCCCGTGGGCGATCGGGATTCAGGCACCGCATCCTTCCCGTTAGCCAGCTCAGCCCCCCCCCCCACCTCCTCTTCCCACGTGGGTTTGCCGGAGCATCACCCTTCACCGCTTCCAGGGAGCCGTGTCATCCCGCAGCAAGGTCACCCCACTGCTGGCACGCACAGCCCCTCATCGCCTGCGCCGTGGGATAAAATCCCGGGGACACCCCCCCCCCCCGGAGCCCCCTCCCCACCTCGCTGCGCTCAAACAGGCGCGGCGACACCAGGACCCCCAGACCTGTTGCGTGGGTGGGGTGTGGGGTGTGGGGGGGTGGGGGGGTGGCTTCTCTTTCCCTGCGTGGGGCCACCAAAACCACGATTCAGAGGCCTGACCCGCGTTTCACAAAGTCACTCGGGGGGGGGGGGGTTGGAGGGGTGCCTCCCCCCAAGCCCACCGCCACGCCAGGAGCCTTCAGTCCCCACAGGGTGAAGGTGGTTCGGGAAATGGGGTGATGCTGTTCACACCAGCCCCCCCCCACCACCGGGCCTTTTAGTCAGCCCCCAGTGATGACCTGCCCTGGGCTAACACAGGTGGCTAGTGAAAATTTGTGGGGGGGGGTCACAGCCGTTTGTCATCCCCCTGCCACTATCCCTCCCCACCAGCTGTCAGGCAGCAGGAGGAACTTTTTCCTGCCTCCCTTCTCCCCGCCGTCTCCCTCGCTCCTTCACCCCGGAGCATCCCTCCCTCTCGGCGCCGTGCCCCCCCCCCTCTCCAGCCCCCCCAACCCTTGTGCCGGCGCGGGGGGGGGGGCACTCACAGGTCAGATGCGGTCGCTTGGTAGGGTTGGCTCCGGCAGAGGATGGAGTGTCCGCAGCCCTGGCCCATGGCTCCGCATGCTTCGGCAGCCCTGCCGGGGGGGGGGGGGGGGCGGAACAGCGGCGGGGGGGCCACACACACACACACACAGAGCGGAGGGGGGGGGGGGGGTTAAAGGCAGCGAGGAGCCGCCGTTCCGCGCTCCGCTGCTGTCACCGAGCCCGATGCAGCGCGGCGAGGAGGGAGGGAGGGCGGAGAAGGGATGGGGGGGGGGTGGGGGGGATGGAGGAGGATGGGGGGGGTAAGGGAAAGAAGCGGGGGGGGGGGGCTGTCGCTGATTGACGGCGTCGCTGCGGCTCCGCGGGTCTGGGCGGGGGATCCAGCCGCGCCCGCGGAGGGTTCCGCACCTTCCCCCCCCCCCCGCCCCCCGCCTCCGCCTCCTCCGCGGGGGCCGCGCCCGCAGCGCGGATCCGCCGCCTTTGTCTGGGGAGGGACCGGCCGGCCCCGACCCCCCCACCCCCCCCCCCGACCCCCAACACCGCCCCCCCGGGGATCCTTCGGTCCGCCTTGGGCCGCGGGGGCGGCGGGCAGCGCGGGGTGGTGCTGGGAGCACTGGTGCTCCTGCCCCAGGGGTGCTGGGCGGCACTGGTCCAGCTCCCCTACGGATACTTGGTGGCACTGATCCTGCTCCCTCAGGGATACTGGGTGGCACTGATCCTGCTCCCCCAGGTGTGCTGAGTGGCACTGATCCTGCTCCCTCAGGGATACTGGGTGGCACTGGTCCTGCTGCCCCAGGGATACTGGGTGGCACTGGTCCTGCTCCCCCAGGGATACTGGGTGGCACTGGTCCTGCTGCCCCAGGCGTGCTGAGTGGCACTGATCCTGCTCCCTCAGGGATACTGGGTGGCACTGGTCCTGCTGCCCCAGGGATACTGGGTGGCACTGGTCCTGCTCCCCCAGGGATACTGGGTGGCACTGGTCCTGCTGCCCCAGGTGTGCTGAGTGGCACTGATCCTGCTCCCTCAGGGATACTGGGTGGCACTGGTCCTGCTCCCTCAGGGATACTGGGCGGCACTGGTCCTGCTCCCCCAGGGATACTGGGTGGCACTGGTCCTGCTGCCCCAGGCGTGCTGAGTGGCACTGATCCTGCTCCCTCAGGGATACTGGGTGGCACTGGTCCCGCTGCCCCAGGGGCACTGGGCGGCACTGGTCCTGCTCCCCACACAGATACTGGGTGGCACTGATCCTGCTGCCCCAGGTGTGCTGAGTGGCACTGGTCCTGCTTCTCCACGGATACCGGGCGGCACTGGTCCCGCTGCCCCAGGGACCCTGGGGAACCCGGGGGCATCTCCCGGACCCATGGGTTTAGCCGCATCCCCCCGGCGGGTGCCCCCACCCTGCACCCACCCTCCACTCCCCCCGCGCTGCCCAGTGGTGCCAACCCACCCCCCCGAACTGGGAGCTCGGCTTGAAGGTCGTCAGATTTTGCACCCAAAGGAGCTTTTTGGGTTGCTCTTCGCTGGCCTGGCAGATCTCCATCCCTCCGGGGTCATTTTTTGGGGGGGGAGAGGGGAGGAGCGCGCTTTAAAATCAGCACGGATGTGCTGCTACTCCCCCGCTCCATCGTGAACCCACCAGCTGGGACTTTAAGAGCAGCACTAGATATTAAGACATTAGCACTCAAATCACATCAGTTCCTGTCAAATTCACAAGGATTAATATCCCCATGGTTTACATAAATAAGCAGTGTATTGTATCAATTACATGAGATCTTCTGCCCATGCTGGCTGGAGGGGGAAACTGAGGCACAGACTGGCGATGACCTACCCAAATTTTACCCCAAGGGCTGACAGTAGAGCCAGGGCTAATTTGAGATTATTTTCAGGACCATCACTTTAATCTAATCCGTATTTCCATCCCAAATCTCAAATTTCGCAACAGTTTCATCCTCTGGCTGAGCTCACCGGGGTTTCTGGAGCACATCCTGCGCTCCTTCGGGAGGGGGACGTGCTGGGGGACACTGGAGGGTGCCCTGGGGACTGGGAGCCATCCCAGTGCTCACCCATCTTCTCCCACCAAAGTGGCTGGTGCCAGCCCAAGGGTGGGCAAAGCCTTGGAAGGCTCAAACATTCAACTTGGGGATTTTATTTATTGCATACATTCCTTTATATTTTCCTTTTTTTTCTTTTTTTCTTTTTTTCTTTTTGTTATTTTTTATTTATTTTTGTTTCTTTTTTCTTTTTCAATTTCTTTTTGTTTTTATGTTTTCTTTTTTCTTTTTTCCTTTTTTTGTTTTTTTTTTTCTCATTTTTATTTCTTTTTGTTTCTTTTCTTTCTTTCTTTCTTTTTTCCCTTTTTTTTTTTTTTTCCCTTTTTTTCCTTTTTTTTTTCTTTCCCACGTTGATATTATTTCATTTCCTCCCAGCAGTCTGGATCTTGGGGGAAAACAGCTGCACGATGGTTCCCATTTCGGCCTGGGCAGGCTGAGCAGGCTGTCACCGCACAGTTGCGCGTCACGATGATATTAATGCATCCAGACTCGCAGCAACTTTCAATCTTTCTCCGTTTCTGGGCTCCGGCGGAGGCGGGGATGGTGCAGGAGGACTCGCACAGCCTTGCTTTCCCCTTCGGCTTCTTGCAAACTTTCTAGAGCCCAAAACCTCGAGCCCCTGATGCTGGGGATGAGCCTGAAGACCCCCGTGGATACGGCGGGGCTGGGCCGGTCCCTATGCCCTGAAGCAGCGGTGATGAGTGTGGGGAGCCAGGCGGGCGCTGCCCGGGCCACGCGACACCCGCCGAGCCTGCTAACCCCCACGCGACGGAGCCGCCTTCCCACGTCATCTTGGCACGAAGACATCTACGGGGAGTCCCCCCTCCTTCCTGGGAAAGCTGGTTGTTTATCCCAGCCTCTCTTATTCCCAAGAGGCGCTTTTGTCTGGCGGCGGTCCCCAGCCAGAAGCTGCTGAAAAGATCAGAGCAGATCTGGGTGCAAGGGCCCCCCAGAAGGATCCATTCATCCACCCAGCCCCAGACGCAAGGCGGGGACACCCCACGTCTGCGTATTCCCAACACCCATCCTGCTCTCAACCACCCTGCAAATCCTTCCGTGCGGCCGGCCTGACGCCGGGCTCCCTCCCCTATCCAAATGTTAGTCCTGCTATTTAAAAGACGTGTTTTTCTCTGCTCCACGTTGCTCTGTACTATTTTGTCCTCGAGAGAAAACTCAACCCCGTATCCAGGCAGCTTCTGAGAGCCCTTCTGCAAACGGCAGCGCGGGTGCTCGGGCTCTCTCCCTAGGAGACACGGTTCCTCCTTTCAGCGTCTGCAGCCCCGGGAGTTTCACAAATGCTGAGAAATTTAAATAGCCTGATGGAACGCTTCCACTGCTGCTGAAATGTTTTGATGCATTTCATTAAACATGCTCCGTTTTGTTTTGTTTTGTTGGTTTTTGCAGATAAATCCCGGCTTGCTCTTGCTTGGAAGCACTCAGGAAAAGGGCTGGGCGGGAGCCTTGAGGAACCTGGGGGTGATTCTGGCTTGGTTTTGAAAAGCAAACAAGGACTACAGGATCCCACCCAGTGTGAAGGAGGTCACACAGATGCCAAGAGGGTGCAACCTTCTGTGGGTGCTGTGAAAACGGGCGGCTGGTTCAGCGGTGCCAAAGGTGAAGAATCCCAAGTGCCGAGTTTTGGCTTTCGTGCCGCATCTTGAGAGTTTCTCAGCAGGTTTCTCCACCAGCCTCAAGCAAAGAGGTCTCTGCTTCACGTTGTCATGATGGAGCCATCCAACCAGCCCGGCTTCATCTCTGCACCCACCAAAGCTTCTCTTCCTCCAAGTCCTGCACTTTGCAGGCAGATACTTTTCCACCCAGGCAGCTGGTCCCCACCTGCTCCCTTCAGATGGTCTTGCTCCATCATCTGCCAGCGCGCACCACCCCAAGAACCTGCCCTTTGGGGAAGGCAAGCATTTCTCCAGCACCACCACCACCCCCCGGGGTGTTTGTGAGCCTCTCCGGGTTTCCAACCTCCTCTGCGGTAGAAAAGTTTCTCCACACACGCAGCGCGAACGCCTGCGCTCGCTGGGGACACCCACCCGAGCTGCTCCAAGGCCACCTCCGCCCTCCTGTGCCCGCTAAGGTGCCGGTGCTGAGCCCGGCTGCTGGAGCCTCGTGGGACGGGAGCCCCGGGCCCCCGGTGCAGGAGCAAGGCCCCGGTGACGGCCACCGAGATCCACCACAAAACCTTCTCCAGGCACATCTAAAGGAGGCACCTTACCCCCACCTCCCAGCTGGAGGGAGAGGGTCCCGGGAGGATCTGAGGTGGCGTCTCCTACAAATCCCTCTCATTTCTCAGCACGATTCTGTGTTAGATGCAGCAAACACCCTTCTAACGGAGTTCACGGCAATCCCCGCTCCCGGCGCTGACACGGGCTCTGTATCTTTATTTATTGTCAGGAAGATGAAGCGCTGCCGGTGCTTCAAAGGCGTCGTTACAGTTACATGCCCTCGTCCCAGTATTTGTGGCATGAATATGAAACAAGCCTTGCTTTTCGACTTCCGCGGCGCCTCCTTAGCTACAGGATTGAATTTTTCGAGCTCGGAACAGCCGTGCATTATCCTCGAGTGCTCATTGTGCAGGATACCAATTCCACCGCTAATGTAGATGTATTTGCTGATACACAGCAATTTGCTCTGCGGATAGTTTCCCTACAAAAGGGCTCGGCATCGCTGCCGCCCTGCGCCCAGAGCCGTGGGCTTCCAGAGAGCCGTTTGCTCCCTCGCCTGTGCATGCAAATGTTTTTTTCCTCCGGAGATACCCCGGCACCTCAACCCAGCAACCCGGGACGGTGCTGGGGACCGAGCCACATTCTGCTTTCCTACTCCCAGGGGTTCCTTACGGGTGACTCTCAAGCATCCCTCTGCGTGTATCCACCACGCTGAATAAATGCTGGGCAGAGGGGAGGTGGGGGGGATGAGTGCTGGGTGCTGCCGGCAGTCTTAGGGTGCTGGGGGTGGGTGCTGGGGGAAAGGGAGGGCAGCGAGTGTGGGAGCTCCACGCAGCTTCACTTTGCAGCCCCAGCTTTTGCCGCTGCACTGAAACGCATCACACACACACACCCCCCCTTCTCCCCTGCCCCGCTGCAAACCTCCAGCGTGCTCCGATGAGCTGGGGACAAAGCTCCTCCACACCCCCCAGCCCGTCCTGCTGCCCCCACGCTGCTTTTTCATGGCCTGAACCTCCACCC